AAAAATTGGCAACAATTTCTACGAAATGACGAAAACAAAATGGAGCTGTTTTACTTTCTTGTTGTCGATTTGACAAACGAATCTTTGGCAAATTGTGTCGTAATTGCTACAGATTCTGAAGAAGTGCTACAATCAGAAGCAAACTATCATACGTTTTCAACTCCTTGTAATCATGAAGTGGCAGACATACGCATTTTCCTGCATGTCAAACATTGTGCTGATTCAAGGCAGAGGCGGATTTAACGGGGCAACTGATAAAATTAAACTGATTTAACTTCAATTTTGGTATGCAATCATTGACTGTGAACGGGTATCGCCATTTTCTGGGAAAGGAAAGAACAACGGGTAGCTTTGTAAGGTATGTTCTTTACGTGATTGGCATTAAAGCTTCATAGTAACTAAATTCTTTTTTGATAGAACAGTTTCCAGCTTATTGTCACAGAGATACAAGAGAACTTCAGAGCAACGAACAAAGATAGTAGTTTCTGGAATTGCTGAACAAATCTTCCAGTATAAAGATTAATCAACAGATTTTGTATTCAAAGTAGTGCGTTTGTTTGATAGCTATTTAAATCCTTCCTATCTTTCAGACTGTCGAATGGTGATAAAGCCAACCTAAGGATTTTCATATGATGATGATAGAGCGTTTCGTTGTACCAAAAAACGTCTTCACTCCACGACGTAAATGTGTGTCGCAGACCTCTGTTCACCAAGAAAATTTGGGCAAGTGAAAGTTTGCCACCAACAAGTGATGCACTTCTCCAACATACAAATGAAACTATTTTTCAAGCTGGGTAACCATTGAAAAACTATTCACGTTGACATTTGAAGAAGCATGCATTCAGTGTGACCAGATCTCAATTTCAGAATTATACCAAAATTTGTCATAAAATTATGCTCGGTTTGCAAACATTTCAAATCAAGGTAGTACCGTTTGAAAAAGAGGCTAGTGCATGCTCAGAATAGCAAAAGTGGCCAGAGTTGCCATTGTCTAGTTTCAATACTGCTCGCCCTGATGACGTAATTAGTTTACCCTAAACCTAAACCTTACCCTAACCTTAACCCTAAACATAACCCTTACCCTAACCCTCTTCTTGAAATAATAAATCATACTAATTTATGACTATTAATCATGCTTCTTTATGACTATCAGGTCGAGCAGTATGGAAACTAGACAATTCCTTTCTGACCACCCATCTAAAACACAGTGTACTCAGCCTTCGTACACAATAATTCTCCGTTTTGGCCGTTTTTCAAAACCCCTTTCGTCATTAATTGGTTTGGCCGAAGAAGCAATAGTTGGCTGAATCGGACGCATTTAAAATAATTTCAATAATGCAAATGACGAAAACATGAAACAAAGTAACAGTTAACAGAAAATTCAAGATAAAGTCAAGTGGAGTCTACAAAGCAAAATCTAATTACACTATCACTTCCCACAATTAGTATAAATGCAGCTTTTTTGTATATTTTGTTTAGCTGGCTGAATTTGGCCGCCAACCGTAAAACATTTGGCTGCCAACCATTCCAAAAAACTGGCGAAACCCTGAAAGTGGAAAGTCACAATTTACTCCCAAATGATAACCACGGATGCTGGTGTAAAGTGTTTGCATTTGGTAACGATGGACAACGGAGCAATGGAAACAATGATTTTTTTAAAAGATATCAAAATTATGCCAGAGTTATGCTAGATTCAAAATTATGCTAGATTTAAGCTAAATGCCTTCCTTAAAGGCGAAAAAAGCTTTCGATAGCAAAACAATATTAAAGGTTCTGTTCTTGAAGCTCCTTATTGCTTTCACAACAACAAACATTTCTGTTGCGATCCAAAACTTACTTCATGCAATTTCCGAAGTCATTTTGAAGCTAGCTTTCATTGCTCAACCCCATCACAAAATTCAGGCTCGCTATGATTCCAAATATTCTGGGAGGGAATGGCACTAAAAGTGCGTTCTTTCCTTGAAAAGTTTGTCTAGTGTTAATCAATGAAAACCAAGCACCTGAGTCCGATTACAGCATGGAGTTGGAATACGACGATTGAAAATGTGTCATCGTTATGGATGATTGTCACAGAAGTCTCTAAGGCATGCCAGAAGCTTATCAAATGTAGATGTAAGCAGAAATGTTTGACAAGATGTAAATGCAGACAGTTTGTTTTGGAATGTACGGACTCGTGCATGTGCAATGAGCAGTACTTCGAAGAATTAGACACTTAAACTTTAAATCTCTCCAGGATGTCGATTTTGTATGACAATTCGAAATTATTCACTGAAAGCTGACATTAGATAACACAATAAGCATTTTCAAGCAAGTACCTGCAGGCATTTTCAACCGACTAGGTGCAAATAGCCTATGTTAGAAATTATATGGGAGCATAGGTTTGCGTAATTTCTACACTTGCACATTTGAGGAATTTTGGCACAGATGCATTTCAGAAGCCTTTAGCGGACTGTTCACTAATACCCCATGCTAAAAAGCTTTTTTAGTACAATTTGCACCAAGATGATAGCCCTTTAGTGACTGTCATTACTCAATTAATGATTTGAATAAAACTCCTTTGGGACAATGAAATTTGTGTGCTTGATGAAAAATTGAAACATTTGTAGAGGTCTGGATTCAAGTACCCCCTTTCTAAAAATAGGTCGTAGGGCAATTTAAAAGATATGATTGCTTTCATCGTTATGAGGAGCTTTATCTCTATAATATTAGTAATTTTCGTATTTTGCTGCCGAGTACGACAGAAAAATAATCAGCGCCTTTCTTGGAGGTCTGGGACCAAGAACCCCATCTAAAAATAGGATTTCATTATTCAGATATTTATTCATTATTTCATTATGCCTGATTATACACTTCTACAACTTATTATGCTTTTGATATGGAAGAATGATGAAAAATTGGTAGAATTTGTTTCAGAGGACTGGGTCCGAGTACCATCGGCTAAAAATAGCTCTTTGGGGTATTTTACAGCTGGGGTCACGATCTCATCGTTTTCAGCATGTCAAAGTCTATAGGTATGCCAATTTCCATGCTTTCTTCATTAAATGCACGATTGTTCTGGCTTTTCCCCTCACTAAAGCGACAAGAGCATTTCACAAGGCAGTGGCAAATTTGGATAAAACGATCACAAAGAATGTGAAAATAAACCCAAAGATGTTGTGGAAGTTCACGAAAACCGAAACCAAATCCTCTGAAACTGTTGCAGACATAGAAGGGCGTGGAAGTTTAGACAAAGAAAAACAATTGCTCTTAAGGAGACTTTCACATCAGTATTCACGGAAGAGAAACCAACTGCTATCCTGACACCTAAACAGAGTGACTATCATTTTCCATTTGAGGATATTGAAATAAACCTAGATGTTATAAAAGAAAAGCTGAAAGGCTGAAAGCATTTAAGTCACCTGGCCCTGATGGTCTTCATTATCGGTTTTTAATGGAGGCTAGGCTGCAGATGAATATGCATTGCAAGGTGTATAATCTTAAAAAATTCACTTTCCTCGGGATTAGTTCCAGATGTATCGAAGAATACTAATCCAGAAGTATCGAAGAATCTTCAGATCAACCCTGACTTATAGACCAATTAGTCTTACATCAATCTCCTGTAAAATTCTAGAATCTATAGAGCATATGAGAAGAAATAAGCTTTTTAGTGAAGATCAGCATGGATTTATTAAAGGACACTCATACATCACGCAACATTGGAATGGTGGAATGGACTCTAGCGGTAATCTGCCCTCGTGTGGAATTGAAGGAAAAGTACTCACGTGGATTAAATAATTGTTGATGTCAAAGAGGCAAAGAATAGTTATAAATGGAGAGATTTCTGACTGGTCAAATGTCGCAAGTGGGGTGCCCCAAGAGAGTGTCCTTGGACCAATTCTGTTTCTTTGTTTCATCAACGACCTTCCGTCAGTCATTCAGGAAACAATGGAAGTTTTTGCAGAAGATATAGAAATTTACACAAAAGTAAACAACGCAAATGACTGTGAAAACCTTCAAGAACGCCTTGCAGAAGCCAGTGACTCGAGCAAGCAGTGGGGACAAAATTTTCATCCATAAACGAGTAAAATATTGCGAATCGGGGAGAATACATTGTTACATGACAGCCTCCAATTAGAATAAATAGATTTAGGCCAAGTAGATTAAGAAATTGACCTTGGTGTTACCATAGAAAATAAGCTAAATTCTAGACAGCATGCTGACCTGATTGTCTCAAATGCAAACCTAACTATGAGTCTTATAAGACAATCTTTCAGTTACATTGGTAAAGGATCCTAATCTTTGTTATCTAAGCCACTAGTAAGACCAATGCTCGAGTATAACAGTATTATGTTCACGCTTTAATGCCACTAAAACAAAAGTTCTTATTCGGTTTCAGACGCCGTATTTTTGCCGCATTTAATTAACGCTTAAACTTTTTCAGACTTGTCAGTTTAATTCGCTACGGCAGAAATGCGGTGTATGAACTGGGCCTCAGTGCAAAGATGAGCAATAAAAATTATCTATGGATTAAAATATTCAATCTACAATGCCTGCCAAAAGTACTTGTAACACCCAGCTATTTACGCTGCATTTGATATCTTTCATTCCTTTCATGAAAAAAATTACTTTTTCGGCCCCCTTCCCCCTAAAACAATGTTGATGATTTAGAGAAATATCATAAAAGAAGCGCAAAAGAAAGTGCTTCCTAAAATCCTAGCCCGTTTGATAGTAAACCAACATTGTTGGTCCAAGACTTTTGGCAGGCATTGTACCTTGATCGTCTGCAGGCTGTGAATTACCAGCACTTGCTTTTCGTTGTTTGCGACGTGACTGACAATAACATGATATGATTTATTATGTCGTACAACAAAATTGTTCAGTATAGATCTAAGAGAGTTGACGATAGACGTGGACATCATCTTAAACTGAAGGAGACTCGCCAAAAATTGAATTTTCGCATTGACCCTGGTTCACAAATACTTTTCTACTGAGGGATGCATAAATACGGGGAACAGCTTGCTTGATTAGCATTGGCAAGACAAGAAACTGTAAGAGCAACCCGATTTTTTAGATTAAAGAAAAATTCTTATTTACTTGAAAGTAAAGTTTACTTTTAAATTAAAATGGAATAAGCGCAATGGCGCTTACAACATTAAACCAATGTATGTGTTTGAATTTTTACAGTATACTTTCCAAGGCTGTTCAAACTGAATATTCAACCATATATAATTATTTTGTAGTGAGATCCAAAGAGGAACAAGATATTATCTAGAGGGCCAATCTGACTTTTCATCCCATGAGGCAAGGAACGTGTGGAGGCGCACAACAACATAACGAATTAGGCCACTGTGTGTGGGAAGCAACTGTCTGCTACCAATATAAGAAACAGTATGTGTTCAAATTGGCCTGTAAGTAAAAGCGACGGGCCTGAAGGACGATGCAAAATAGGACTGCTTTTCTTTACTCGGTTGTTATAATCGCGTTATCCATTGGAGTTGAAGCAACTTTATCAACTGCCTCCGAAAGCAACGCAGTGCCACTCGCCAACATCAACAATGCAACCCAGACGGAGAAGAACAGCTTCCCTCCTGTGACACTGAATATAACAAACGATGGGCCTACCATCCTCGGGTCTAGAACAGTATTCAATGTAACAGTTCAAACTTCAGCTGCAGCTTATATTTCATACCAATGGGGGACAATTATACCATATCGCTGGATGAGCTTGGAAACGTACAATTATTCAGTAAGGTTAGAAGTTGACTGGTGGAAAATCACAGGAAGTAAATCAGTGTATTTTTACATCGATGCTTTGGAAAAGCATACAGGAAAATGGGTTCGAGTTGCCGTGAATTCATCATCTGTCGAAGTCATAGGTTAGTTTTTAAACATACACTTAGTGTGGTTGTGCCTGATTTTCATCTTCATTCATCACTGAATTACAATTTTACTGTCGAAAGTTTTTGGGATTCTTTTTAACTTTTCTTTATACTTTAAAAGTGTAGAACGGATCTTTATGCTGAATTTTTTTCTGGCATATCAAAGTTGAATAATTCTATTGTGTTTTCATTATTTTTAGTTGAATATATATATCTCTCTCTCTCTCCCTCTCTCTCTCTAGCCATTTTGGTCTAGACATCTTGTCAAAACTATGAATTTGAAAAACAAAGAAATGACTTTGATTTATGAATTTTGAAGTAAAGTAGAATGATTAAAATAATAAGATATTAACAATAAAATAAAATGTATGGAGTTACTACAGGCTATTTATTTCACTTTAATTTATATTTTTTGGGATTTCTTTAAGGTAGTTCTCCATTGCCCCTTCCCTAAAATCCATAGCTGAAAAAAGGAATAAAATATTAAGACAATCTAAAGGTGGATTCCACTTCACGGTATGGAGGGGAAACAGAAATTGGTGAACGGTAAACAATTGCGAAAATTTCCTCCTATCAGTTTCTACCACTTCTGGCTTTCTTTCCATTTCTTTCTGGGAAGGGGCATATTTATGCTAGACAACTATCTGATGATTTTCTTTTGAAAGTAGATAAGATAGAAATGTTAAAGGAGAGAGAAATATGAGAAGGTAATATCGTTTGAAAACATTGCAAGAAAAAAAGCAAAAGGGAAAGGTAATACTATGATAGTAACTCGATTTTGCTGAAGTTATGAGGCAATGCCTCGAGTATGTTTGGGTGAGAGGTCAAACGGTCATGTTTCATGGAAAAAAGTTGCCTTGATTTCAACTTTAGGGTAGGCTTACCATTCTTAAATGTCAAAATATATTCTGCACATGCTTGTACCATATAATGTTTTCCGTTTTCCATCCATACTGTGAAAAGGAAATCCACCGTAACCCCTTAAGTTTCCTCATTTCACAATGTAAGAATCTGCAATACAAGACAAGACTAAAATTGACAGGTGCTAAGGCCTTTAGGAGGCAAATGAGCCATAGGTTTTGTATTTCTATTTTGTTTCAGTTTGGTTTTCAGCTGCTTTCGGTCAATTCTAGCCAATTTTACATTTGTTGTCTGTCTTTTCCAGAATTAAGAAGATAAGGAGACAAAAAGTTTCTATTTTTATGTATATACAAGCACACCAGATAGGGGGAAGGGGGGCTAGGGGCAGTTTATAGCCCCCTCACTTTTTTTGCTGAACTATGATATCCGGTAATGGCATCAAAGATAAATAGGGAAAAACTACCACAAAAGTTTGGCAGTTTGTTCACAGCCCCCCACTCCAAGATCTTCTTCGGCCTCCATGATATGTCAAATCTATTCTTATTCCTGGTGTTTAAATGTCAAGAAGATACAATTTTGTAGGCTTAAACTTTCTGTTCATTTCTTCCATTGTATAAGTTATATCACAGTTGAGTACTCCCAAGTCCCCTCCTAGTCGAAATATTTAAATGTCCATGTATAGTTGAAAATGGCCAGCAGCAAGCAATAATTATTATACAAAATGATCTTCTCAAGATGCAAATTTTCTCCCAGAAAAATTTATCATCCTCACTAAAATCTTTGCTTGTTGTCAAAATATTTTAACTGATATGCTACTTTTAAGTGTCAATGCCCTTATATAGATAAGAGAAAAGTTGGGTTTATCTTTAGCCAAAATGGAGTCTGTTTGATTTACAGATTTTTTGAGCATGTCAACCACTCTAACACAGCACAAAAAGATCATCCATGATGGAAAAATCGAGGCAGGAATGGCAAATCTTATTGCAAATATTCATGACCCCAGCAACTTCTTCAGAGGTTTAATTGTACACTACACATGGATATTTAATGATGGAACTCCAACCAAATTTACAACCTGGAATAGTATGGATCATACATTCAAAAGTGAAGGCTTGTTTTACATACAGATATCTTCTACGCTTAGAAAGGATGGAAAATTGTACAGTGGACAAACTTCATTTTATGTCTCTGTCAAAGGTATGTGCTATATTATCTAATACATATGTTTTTTACTCCGGTTTTCTTTCTACTTGTAATAACTAATATAAAACAAATGAAAATAATGTTTACTTATTTGTGGCTTTCAGCTCATTTAAAACCATTTGCATGTTTGTTGGCTTGGGCATGTACAGTCACAATTGTCTTAGGGTAGGGGTTGGTAACCGTATTTCATATTAAATCTGTATTCTACTTTTAGCTACACTTACTGGGTATATTCTAACATGGAAAGAAGATGATCATAATCATCCAATGCTACCTTCAAAAGAAAAGAGCTTCCCAATTGGACTAGTCAATTTCCAGTTCAAACTTGTGGACATATATTCCTCATTTACAAATGCTACATTCTCATACATTTGGAATTATGGAGATGGAACAATAGAGGCAGCCTTGGGTAATACCACACATGTTTATGATGATACTGGGCATTTTGTTGTGGCAGTTGGAGTATCTGCATCTCAACATGGAAGAGAATACCATAGCTTGCTTCATAAAAACATTTCAATCAGAGGTAAGTTTGAGTCAAATTTGGTTTCTATTTAATTGTGCAGAAATGAAATGCTTTTGTGGAGTTATAATAATTGTGTACACAGAGACACAAAGTTTTGATATGCACACATTTTAGGGGATACAGCATGCAATAGAGTTCTTAAGCTTGGCATTATAAAAATCTGATTGTTGGGATTTTAGAATTTTGACCATATAACCAAACAACACCCTGAAATACTTCTAAATATGCAAGATCATTTGAGTATGTCAATAATAAGGTGAGATATGGTGAATGAAAGATTTGATCACTGTTTTTAGTATTTCATGATGGTCTTTTAGGTTATGGGATCAAAATTCAAAAAATTTTAAAAATAGATGTTTGTGCTGTCATCAAGGTTACGGTTAAAGTTTTTGACACAATGTTTGGTTCTCTACCAAAAAGCCAAACTATTAATGGAATCTGATTCATCATTGGATGCACAAGAATGTGGTGATTCCAACCATATCAAAATAATTGGCATATACCATAAAATGATATTTTCCCAGTCAAATATATTGCTGAAAGATTGTACTACCTTCAAAAGTTATTTTTGTACCCTTGCATTTGCGGTAACAAAATTTTAACAAAAGCTGACTTATATCAGCAAGAAGTGGTATTTGGCTATAAATCATGGACCAGAGCAAATATAAAAATTTTGAGTCCCAATTTGGTCACCAGACATCTGTCCCAGCTGTGTGCAAATTTTTGAGGCATTCGATTGGTTCCTCGGGTACAAAAGAACTTTTTTGTACCTGTAATATAACTTAAAGAGGAATTGTGTGTCCAGAGAAAATGAATTTTACTGCTGCACATGGGCAGGGATGGCACCAGAAAAGAAATGCTGGGGGGGCTGTAATGTCAGAGTGTCGACAGTGAGTGAACCACCAACAAAGATCTAATATAACACCATTTCCGCTGTGGTAATTCCAGTTCAAAAAATGAAAAAAAAACTGAAAAAAATCAGAAAATTGAAAAAATTAAAAAAAATCACGAAGTGGAAGTTATGAAAGTGCAGACATTGCTTAAAATTTTTCAAAAATTGAAGTGCCGATGGAGGGGCTCAATGGATTTTGGGGGGGCTCCTGCCCCCCAAGCACCCCAGGTGGCGCCATCCCTGCATATGGGATACATGGATTTGCCATGCGATTGTAACAAATTATTTCAAATGAGACATGCAACCACAACTGCAAAGTAAGGATGGTCAGCTTACTAGGTCAAGCGATTTTCAGACTTCAACTCAGAACTTTAAGGAAATGATGGAGACATTCGTTTACAGGTGTTTTTCACCATTTTGAAAACATCTATTAGTATCAAACATGATATCATTGTATGCTTTGAAAGTCGGCTAGTAGAATGTGAAGAAATGGAAAAATGGATGTTTTTGTCCAGAAAACGTTTACCATTACCTTAAGAAGTACTCTATAGGTTTCTGAGTGTCGAGGAGGAGCAATTTTAAAAATCTACCTCATTAAATTGATTTCAGTATTCATATCACAGAACGTATGAAATGAGCTAGAGAAAACTTTAAAGGTATTAAAAACTTTCTGATTGTTTGCCTCAAGTATAGAGTCAAAGGGTAATTAAGATCTGGCAGCTAAGAATGGTATGAATAGAGCTCAGTGTTCTCTCTGATTGTGAAACTGCATATCTCTTATGCCCTATTCAGTCTTGTAATTTTGTAATTATTGGTGAATGGAGGTGATTCTGTTGATGGGGCACAGAGAAGCCAAAGCATTGGGCAACAGGGAAGGTGCATATGGGATAAATGTCATTGATAGTTAAAGACATTGTTGACTTTCAGTGGCTGTTTTTCTTCAAATTTTGTAAGAACTTAGATTTTTGCACCCACAACTCCAATTTCATGACAATACATGCTTATACATCGTTATTGAATTTAAAATTCCAGGTGCTTTCTTGTAGCCTAAAAGAGCAAGGATTAACAGGTGTTGACCACCTCCAGCACCCCTAAAACTAGATTAAGCTATAATGTTAAGCAAGTTACCGTTTTCAGAAATAATTGGATAATGTTTGTTTCTGTCGTTAAATAGTCATTCAATTAAGATTTGTGGCAAGTAGTGCAATTGATATTCCCATGTATGAGTTTTTCAACCCAATTGTACCCAGAAGATCTTTAAATTCTCATTCAAATCAAAACAAGTATGAAGTCAAAACAGCTCATTTTCTAGCAAATTATCAATTAGTATGAAAGCATTAGTGTTTTTAGTTCATTTTTGTGGGCAGTAAAGGTAAAGCTGAAGTCCATATAAGATCACGTAATGGCGGACAACCAGCCAGATCATTGGTCGAACCTTGCCCTGGACTCTCCAGTGATTCATTATTGTGCTCTAACCATTTCCGGCTTTCTCTTCGTTACACAACACCTTCTTTCACTCATAATATCAATCTTTGTTACAGCGTCACATTAATATGGCTGATTCAAGGATAGGTTTTACTGTATTTTGCTTCATGATTTTAATTTATCTTTTATCAACAGAACCAATAAAAGACTTAGATGTCAAAAGTCAATCAAAATTGAAGAAAGGAAACAGAGTGCAATTCAATATTTCGTGCAAAGGAAGGTAATTTTTTTGTTCACCTCAGTGGAGTAATGCAACCTTAAAAACATCTTGAATAATCTCAAATTCCCTTAAATATTGTTGGTGCTTAATTTCATGTTGATATACACAACCTTGGCAGACAAGGGCTACTGCTAAATGCCTCATTGTTAGATCCATAAATACTGCCTCTCAAGGAAATATTTTAAAATTAAAACTTGATTGTGTCGTTTTAATTTGATAAAGATCTTATCTTACCTAAATTTTACGAATTAAATTTTGTGACATTGCAGGAATCAATCTTCTGCGTGTAAAAGGAAGCTTAATACAACACCATCGCTGCCGACGTAGCTAGTGTGCCTTGAAACTTACAATTTCTAAATAACTAGTTCGTAAGATCTAAATAAACTGAACTGCTAAGGGTTGTTTTTATTGTAGTCTTATATTATTTTATTCATAGTGCACCGTTGTCATTTTGCTGGTATGTAGCGAGAGGTAGCTGCAAACTGCCGAGTGACGTCATATGCAGTCCGACCCGTCTGTATCACAATTGTAAGAATACTATAAATCTGACATTTCACCGCAGTGGGGATTACTGCGTCAATGTGACAGTTATCAATACTGTAAGCTTTGCTGAGAAGTCAATCAACGTTAAAGTTGCAGAAGGTAAGGACTTGGATTTATTGAAATCAGTTAGAAGCATGTTTTGTTGTGAAGACCAGCCCCCGTGTTATTTTACGGTAGTCAGGCCAATGCAGATACAAATAATTTGTGCAGATACGAAAAGGCTGTCTTTTTAGAATCAATTCAATCAATTTTGGTTTTACATTCATTGCTAATTCTCATTGGCATAATGTAACCTTTCTTTTAGAATCTGTGACTTGATAACAAGTAGTTTTCATTTTAGCAACCGCTTGCTAGGATTTAAATGAAATATTCTGTCATTCAATTTAATCAGCCTTCATCACTGTTTGATAGGCAAGATCCTTCTACTGATACGAAGCATTAATTTCTTTTTTTAAAAGAACCATTTTTGCCGAGTCTTGATGTTCTAATTTTTTGGGTAATTAGAAGCTCGGAAATTTATATTTTGTTCTTTTTTTGTTTCAACATTGATTTTTTTACAACTACATACTATAAATTGTTTCTAAGACCGAACTTTTGAATAAAAGCTTTGCATTTCGTTTTTAACAGTACGGTTCATTAGCCGATAAAAGCTCTTCTGTTTTGTTAACAAGAGATAATATTTAAAACGCATTGTTTTCCCGCTAATTTTCATTTAAGGCTGATTATTCTTCAACTGTTCTTATTTTTTTGGAAAATTGTGCTTCGGTGTTCTTAGAAAGTTTGTTCTTATAAAGAAAAAAGTGTACTTCACTTTGTTTACCAGAGTTCTTCTATAAAACATCAGGTTTTTCTAGCTATATTATACTAGGTTTATATTAGAGAGTTTTCAAATGCCTAAGCGTATTTTGAATCTTTTCACAGAGACCGCCGAGAACAAACGCAATCATTCCGCGGTCACTGCAGCTGCTGTTTTGCCGATTATTGCTGGCCTGCTCCTGTTTATCGTTCTTTTTCTTGGAATTAAACACAAAATGCAGCATCGCAAAAGACTGGCTAGGAAATCCGAAGTCGCCACGTTTGACTTTCGCAGCTCTCAATTTTCTCTTCACGGATCTGCTGGATGTTGTTGCCCTTTCTTGATGAACTGCAAATGTTTTTGTCCTAATGACGATGATCCTGAGGAAGATCATGAAATGGAAGAGAGGCGAACGTTCCTTGAAGAGGAGCCAGGTTCAATAACCCCAAAAAGGAAAATTAGCTACTATGGCTCAATACACAGAATTCTAGGCCAATGCCAGGTTCACACATCTCACCCTGAAGCTAAAGAAGATGACCAGTCACCATTTACGCCACGTAGAAATTTATCTAAAAGTGTTTGAATTGGTTGAAACCCCTTTCGGAAATAGATAGCTCATTTCGCAAAATTTAGAAATTTGATTTTTAAAGACATTTTAGTATATTGATATTTTTCTTTATTATGCATTCAATTTAATTCAAAATGTCACTCAAATATGCAACGTTCATGTCAATTGCAGCCACAGAGGGTTTTGCTGGGTTAATTCAAATCATATACATTATATCGAGTTTAATTTCTGTATAGAATATCAGTAATGATGTTGAACTTTGAACTCATATCATAATGGCAGGGGATGCTGCAAAAACGTTTAGTCGGGTATGGTCTGATGTAAAGCACAAGATTCTAAAGCATGAGACCTTAAGGCACGACACTTTAAATCACGAGCCTTTAAACAGGACTCTAACAGGAGTTTGCAGCTGTCGTATTCATTGAAATCGGTGAAAAGTCAAAATGTAAAAAGTAAGGTATTACTAGAAAAATCAACAATATGGAATGGATGATAATTATTTTGGCTAAAACCCCGCAACCGTTGTATTATTAAATACAGTATACTCTCGTTAAGTTGGACCCTGGATAAGTAGGACGCCCGCTATGTAGTACAGATTTTCCCGGTCTCTTGAACTTTTCAAGCATTCGGATAAGTAGGACGCCCCCTAAGAAGTACACTTTGCTCAGTCCCTCTAGTGTCCCACTTAACGAGAGTATACTGTATTAGTGCAAAAGGCGTTTAGCTTATTGAGATTTCCTTTTGAAAACTGTTGCAAAGACTCTGGCTATAAAAAGGAATACTAAATAAATGAGTAGTTAAAGATTCAGCTTCCTAAATTTTTTATTGCAAGGGTATGAATACAAAATTGCCGCATAACGATTATTTTGGAAAACAATTCAGAAAAATGAAAAGCCAGCTATGAATTACCATTTTAAGTTATTTTGTTTGGTATTACCTTTTAAGAAAATTGCTTTAATGAAAATAACAGGATTTTGATAATTTTAATTCAAATAATAAAAAGCCAGAGAATTTTAATTTCTTATTATGAATGTTATTATTTTACTTCCATTTGAAATTTTGATGCACCTTGGCAACCATTCACTTTTTATGTTTTATATATTGAATTTGTTAGAATCCTTTGTTAAAGATTTTATTTGATAAACATCTCCATCTTTTATAATTGTTACTATGTATTCACGACGTATATTTTTCAAACTAATTTCAATTACCTTATTTACCACACAGCAAATTAATTTAGATACAAGATTTTTCTTTCTTTTGTTTTATCTAATTATTGAGAATTCTTTTTGTGTGGCAGCTATGCCAATTTCAAATCCATTTACATTTTCTTTCGTAATTTCCCTAATTTCTATTAAACACCGATAATGTAATAAAACAAATGACTCTGCAAGAATCCCTATGTTCTTTCTACATAACATTTTCAGGTATGATGGTAGCAGCTATTAGTAAATAAACACACCAAAAACACTGGTGACTAGAAAAGCTGGACGTGCATGCATTGAAAAACTGGTACCATTGAATTCCTTTTACAAGATTTTTTACGATGCGCAACATTTATCCTTAGTTTTGCTCTATAGAGACGGTTTGTTCAACTCCTGAAAATCCATCACTAGGGCCTTCGAATTAAAAACCTGATTTAGTATATCAAATTGAAATGTCTCTTATATCTTAGGTCTATGACCGCTTTTCCATCTCTCTCTGTTTTCATTCCTCCAATTTATGAATAACATTTAGTTATGATGTCAAGTCAACTAGAATCACTGGCTTGCTTTAAGATAATAATGTCAAGTATTGTAATATAAGAAAGAATTTTATGAAGTAATGATTATACATGTTTGATTAAATGCTGTATCAAAATTCGCTTTTGTATTATGAAGTCAATAAAAAAATCAGGTGAATTTGTAACTTCAACATTTTTCTTTGCGTTGTTACTTTGCTCAGAGGAGCTGCGTCACTTCACGTCAATACGATCTAGATCTAATGTTATGGCTTTCAAGCCAACTAAGAGCAAGCTAGTAGCACTTTATTGTATTAATAACCTAATGTATGATACACGGTAGGCTACAAGGATATGAAAGTATGTGATAACGAGAACAGAAAACTTCTAATCGTAACAAATGCATAATCGTCAGCATTTGGTACCCTGTTACCCAGCCAATTCATCCAAGGAATTTGGAATTCCATCCTTCGAAACCGGGTTAGGAGGCTAGCCTTTCAGCTTGGTTTTTCTTTGCACAAATCAAAAGAACATTCAAAAGAAGTTTCTTCTTTCCAGGCACAAGGAATACAAAATATGAAAAAAGAAAGCCTTTTTCTAGCAGATTCTTGTAGGCAAAATGGTTTCTTGAATCTCGCAAACAACGTGCGTGGACAGCGCCGAAGAAGAAATTGAATTATAAACAATTTGAAACTGGAAGATGTAATTCCACCTTATAACAGAACTAGGAAGGAAAACGTTCTTTGGATGGTACCCTCTGTTTTCCTATCATGGGATTTTTTAGTGCTACAGAGGTTTTTCTTTGCTAGTCTCTGGCTTTCTTTGAAAGGCAGTTATGACGAGGGTGGACTTAAATGTAGAATACACTAATTATAAATAAATTGTTTTCTTGTCACATTAGACTTCTATTCTAATCCCTAAACCTATGGTCACAAACCTATGGTTACAAATTTCCTCAACCTATAATCTCGAAGCTTAAAATCTGATATAAACCCTAAATGTAATTACCACCACTGTTCATTTTTCACTCATTCCAAATGCCTCAAGCGTTCAACATAATTTTGTAACTGGAAAGGCCGTTTCCTACAGCTAAAGAATCAAATTTTGATTCTAAGAGACAAATATATGTACCAATTCACTTGTCTGTTTCTCTGTATTTTGCCCCACCTGTTATGGAGATCCGTTTCCTTTGGTTTTCAGTAACGATATGCGTATGTTGACCATAGATATTGCACAGCGTGGGGCAATTCTAAATAGGGATGTGGGAGGGATTTCAGCGTCCAACTGGAATTTAGAATTTCTGCAAAGTTTCTGTGGAAATATAATGAGTGCTTTACGCCCCCTCGTGGAAAATAAAGCTTCTGATCCAGCAAAATTTAGAGTCCCCAGGATCTACATGGTTCCGAGAACTTAGAACCAAAACTTTTTGGACAAAAACTTTTTGCATGATACCGAAATTCATGCTGAAACTCATCTGCAATGTTACGTCAATCTATTATAGGTAACTTTGACTATATAGCTGTAACAAAAAAGCTTGGGGTAACTAGCATAACAAAAATGTAAAGCTGCATCGTAGCCAGGGATGGATTTAAGCAACAGTGATTTGGGTGTGTTAGATGCTAATTGAATTTGGGTGCCACACCCAACAGGTTGATGGAAAATGATGGAAACGCCCATTTAGAATTATAGGGGGTGTCGCACCCCTACACCCCCGCTAGATCCGTCCCTGATCATAGCCCTTGCACGCCGTATTTGAAAAATGCAAACTGAGAAACGTGACCAACAACTTTTGGAACTCTTCTTTTTCCTGTGTTGACAAACGCGTGTTTGCTGGCTCTAGTGGCTTTCTTCGGGAAGTCATTGAGTAGTGACATTTTAAAAACATTAAATTGGGCTTGAAGAAACCACGGGGTTTTTCTATAAATTTGTCAATTTATTTTCAGCAGAAGTGACTGGAGAGAGAGTGTGTGTGCTGGCTTCGCTACCCTGTGTGCCAGAGTCTCCATAGTTCAGTCTCAGAAATATAGTTTAAGATGGGAAAATATGTTCCTACCCCTCTTCCGCACCCACTCTTTTTTTCCACCGCATCAGTCTACAATATCGTATCCTCTGGTTCTTGAGGATTTGGTACCCATGGTATTGCCTCGGAAAACAAAATGCAATATCTTGGGAATGAAACTGCTTAATGAGAAAGTTGATAATTGATCTTGGGGCAATCTGTGGAACTTAAGTACGATACATTTACTGATAACATTTCTCAAATGGTTTGTAGAATAAAGTGATACAGGGTTACATTCTTGGTGAAAAATATCACCCATCGCCAATTCCACTTGAAAGACTGACAATTGTTCTGGATCCAGTCTTCAAGATATCAGACGGAAAGAGGAGCTACCTCCATCGACTCGGGGACATTATTTCTAATTAGCGATACCTAATACTAATTAGAATTAGAATAATAATTACTATTAGAATTGCTAGTACCGAAATAGACGAAGATAAGCATGAACTAGTTGATAATCAAATCGACGATTGAAGAAAGATGGAGACAACAGAACCGAACAACGAAAATCGTCATGGAAAACAAAACGAGCAATGATATTCATCAATGACTGAAATATATTTTTTCATCAGATTTTCATGCCATATTATATATATATATTCATGATGCCCAGTTAGCGTTGCCAATTTTTAACTTGAGACAAGAGACTTGAAATTAACTTTTGCCAAAAATAGATTACATTCAAAATTTGGTGACTTACGACCGAACTGTCTAAATGACATGAAATTTTCAGTAAAGACTAATTTCAAATGACGATTTCAAATCTGAAGTCCGTTTTTAATAAAAATTTATGAAAATAGCATGATGTAAAATCAATGACCTCAACTGGGAATGCATTTATTTGCATTTTTCTATTTGTTAAAATTAAAAACCTTCGAACGAAATACTTTCGGACAAATACCATAAATCCTCGAATTAGGTATTATATATTTTTGGATGGCGGATTATATGAGGAGGGGTATGGCTTATAAAATTATTGTAGACATTAAGAAGACATTATTAAAAGACCTCGTTTATTTTAGTAGGAATTTCTTTATGAGCATTTAATTACTTACTACCAAAAATACGAATTTGTAGTTGTAATTCAATAAAACGCCATAGGCAACCTCAGATGGCAAAAACTAACAAATCAAGATGGGCCGATTTTAGGATTTACGGTAGCAGTGGGGGCTTATACAAGAGGGCATTTTCGAGGGGGGGGGGAGCAATTCGATGATTTACGGTAACGTTTTTTGACAACTTTTGTCCAAAACGGGGGCAATGACATGAAGCACCGGAGGAGCCGTTTTGCAAGAAAGCGAGGCTATGGTCTGAATTTGAAGTTATACTTCCTTGAATCATATTCGGACTTCAAACGACTGTAGTTCAACTAGTTATATTGCCACTTTAAATGTATATACACTAAATCACATGAAAAATACTTGTTAGATATGTACATTGTTGTATTTTGCAGCCACGCACAACAGACCTGACAAGGTCATGGATTTGAAAGGGAAACTCATCGCACAACTGGAGCAATGGAACAAGTAGGAAGTAAACATTTGTGTATCATGTACGATTGCAACCGAGTCGAAGACTCAAACCCCGCCATCTGAGACAAAACTTCAGTCTAGGTAGAGCGGGAAAGGAGGCTAATATGCAAGTTGGGAAATGAGGGGGGGGGCAAGGTCAAACTAAAAGATTCAAAACAAATGGTTTTGCAAAAATCAGGGGGCATTCGCCTGCATTCAGGGGCCCTGTAGGACATGTCTTTGCTTGATTTGGCTTTAGTTAATCTTTATTAACACCATTGACATCCCTATCCCTAACACTAACTGAGGAGGGACTAGATAGTTTGGCTACCAAGCTGCTGTCCAAAGGGCCCTATCCAGCAGGGATTTTATTTAAAGGGTCCTTTTTATGTGAGAATTATTTTGATTAGTCCAGTTCAAGATAATGCAGTAAGGTATAGATTTTACAAGAACTATATGCGGTCTAAATAAGGTCCGAGACTTCTATTTTTTTCTTTCTTTACTCCCCCACAGTGAAATAACCCGGGCTCTTATTTAGGTGCCAGTCCAACTCTAACTCTAACCCTTTCTAAATGATCATTTGAAAGTACATTTGGTTCAGGTTCAAGTTCCTCATTTTGAAAGTCTACTCTAAATAAACAACTCAAGTAAATAATACAATAAATTTTCAATAGACTTGTTGTTCAAAATTAAAAGAACACAATGCTGAAGCCAAAAGCAATTGACTCAGACAGCAGAATCATTGATCAGGGATTTTTATGATGAAATCTTTTAATAATCTATCTTAAAATTGTGTGTAGCCTGCAGTTAACTTTGTAGAAATAAAGATATCAAATGATATAGAGAAAAGTAAAGGCAAATCCAGGTTCAGAAAGCTTTTTCAATACCAGGCATTTCATAATATATTGTCTGGAAATTTAGTATTAAATCACCTTACTTGGTCGTTTTTAGAGAACAGAAAGACTTGAAGGAAAAATTGATTATAATTGAGAACAAAGATTCATCCAGTGAAGCCTTTGATGTTGAAAATATCAAATTAGTTGGCGGTGTTGATATTTCGTTTGCACAGAACCCTGATGACAAAGTGCATGCATGTGCCGCACTAGTTGTCATTAGTCTTCCTGATCTTAAGGTAACTCATTCTCTTTTCTCAATCATTTCTGAAAGTGATATCCACACAAACTATATTTACAATTTACTTAACACATCAAGAAACTTGTTATGTTTTGTAAAATTTACTTACATTTAAAAGAAGCCTTTGTGCTAGGGCAATATTAGTTAAATATGATTTAATTTAACATGTTTATATTTTAATTTTATTTAAAAATTATTTTTGATAAGTATTGAATTGTTTTTCCACCAGACTGTTTTGTTCCTGATTACTCAATAAAATGTTATGGCTTCAATTTTTAATGCAATCTAATAATTTCCTTTTTTCTTAATGTTTGAATTTTTGCCATTAAAATTTCTAAATTATTAGTTACTTGATTATTAAAATAATGCATGAGTAATGATAGATGCAATGTTTTTACTGCAATGTTCCTAATTGCCTGTAGGTAGAATACCAAAGCTGCACCTTTGTTCATTTGACCTCACCATATATACCAGAATACCTTGCCTTCCGTGAAGCATCTTATTTGGTTTGTGAGTTGGGAAAACTGAAACAGAATAAGCCAGAACTTTTTCCTCAGGTTAGAAAAAAATTATTGTTTGCTTCTTGTGGTTTTTTCAAGGTTAATACCAAAATTAGTTTTGAATACCAAAAGGTAAAATTGCCAAAGGTTCTTGAATAAACCTACTTGGAAGAAATGAAAAGGACAAATATTTCATATAAGAACAAAATTAAAACATAGTCATCAACATATGTTTCATGACTATGTGAGTTTTTGACTTTTTTTTAATCATTGTCTGGTCAGTTGTATTATAAACCTTCCATTTGAACAGACAATTTGACAAGCCAAGTGTATGATAGTTTGTTTTGATGATGTGAAGTTATGATTTGAAATTGAAATTATTGAAATTACTGAAATTATTGATATTTTTAGCACCCCCCAGGACCGGTGCCACAAAGGGGGCTGGGGGTTGGATATGTCCCCCCAGTTCTCAGCAGGATTGATTTTGTATTCCGTCTAAATTGGAGGAGAAATTGTTAGGGGAGGGGTAATATTTTTACAATATTATTTTTTAGATGTTATCCTGTTTTAAAATTGCCTTTACATTTAACCAAAAGTTAATAACGGGCTTTTCCTTCAGGTGAAATTGGCATCCCTGTAAAAGAACATGGCCTAAGATTTTTTGTCTGATCTCCCCCCAAAGCCTTGTAGCTGGTGCCGCCCCCTGCCACCCCCCTTTAGCACAATATCTAGCGATGGTCCTATGTATAGACTTTCCCAAAGTCTATGTTAAATCTAAAAGGCATTCATAGTACTGGAAAGGTCAATATAAACTGCAAGACAACTGCTGCAGATGAGATTTGCTTTTGCAGTTGTATGAATGCCTTTCGGATTTAACAAGAATAGACTTTGGGAAAGTTTGCCCTAAATAAGACGTGAAGTTTTCTTAAGATGTTTTGATATGAGCAAATTTCATTTCCTTTTTGCTTGTATGCAATTTGTTCTCAAACATTTAGTTGATAATAACTAAGCAAAACACTTTGTGTTATTTTCTTCTTTTTTCTTTTATATGGTTTTTTGCTAAACATGTGTTGTCTTGTCTTTCAAGGTTCTCTTGGTGGATGGGAATGGACTATTGCACCCCAGAGGTAAGGAAGCTTGTATTTTTCCAATTTAATTCTTAGCAAGCTTGATATCAAAGACCAGTCTTGGTCATAATATTTTGTGACAAAATTTGTTTCAAATTGACAACAAACCATAATTTGCTATCTTTTGCTTTCAGTTAATATGTTTTTTCTTATGTTAAGGTTTTGGAGTGGCCTGTCACATTGGTGTCCTAGCAGATCTTCCAACTGTTGGGGTTGCAAAGCAGCTGTTTCATGTGGGTGGCCTTGAAAAAAATGAGGAGCACACAGAAAAGGTTTTGCCTTATTCTTCCAAATTTAACTTTTACCTTTATGATGGAATTGACCCTGAGTACCTAATGGGGCATTCTTTTTTGCCAATCTATTACATAAAATCTTGCCTATGTCCAGAAATTTAGGTTCTTTTATATTATTTCCATTTTGAATACAATCTCTTCTCGTAATTGAATAGCATATTATGTAACTTAAGTTGCAAATTTGACAATGCGTTGGGCTTTTAGAATGTTTAGATACAATGACAAAGTCACTTTCGCTGTACCCCATGTCGATCTGCAATTTAACAATGAAAGTTCCAAAAGGCTGGGGTAAATTCCTAGCTTATAGATAAACTGATATACTGTTATGTTTAGATTCATACTTTTTGACAAAATAGGTTTCTAAAGTGAGAGCTCATTTAATAGCATGATCTGTGCTTTCAAATATATTCAGATATTTGAAAATGGCTTTGAAAAAAGCAAACATTTTACAACATACTTAAAGCTTTTTCGTCTGACACTCCTCAGAGCATAAAACGTCAGAATAGGTTCCGAAAAAACACGTTTGAAAAATATATACCCAGTTGTGGATCGAAACAGGCCAATCAGAAAAACGCAAGCACAAGACCGGTATAGTTGACCAATCAGTGCCGCGAGCCTAAAGAAAAATTACCAATGGAGTCCAAGAGAGAAAACGAACTCCTTTTGTCTACACAATGGGGGCTTTTTCGTTTTTATGTAGATTGACTCCAAAACTGCTAGATGGAAGGACGACCGGGCCCTGCCAATTATCCGAAACATGTCGTCATTATAGAGTTTTGCACAATCTGGGTTGTCTAAAAGATGTTGACCAATGGCAGAATCACTTGCTTTAACAGTGTTTCTAGACCTACAAGATCGAGGAGGCTGTTCTCTTTGAGAGTCAGTTTTGTTTCGTATGTTGGAAGGAACATGCTGTTTTATCCTATCCCCCAATCTTTGGGTTGTGCGTCCTACGTAGCCAGAATCACACTGGCACGTAAATTCATAAATGACGGAACTTTTTTGTTTGGTAGGAACGCAATCCTTTTGAATGGATGGAAGGGCTCTCCTAGTGCTGTAAACAATCCGAGGATTGACAGCAAAGAAACATTTGGTTATGGCTTGCCTAATCTGACTCTCGAATCGCAAGGAAGTGTTACCAATCCATGGTAGTTTCAAATAAACTGGGCACTTTTGCGGACCAAACTTTTGAACAGCCGAAAAACTTGCGATCTTCTCCTTAGTATAAGATAAAATGACGTCTTCAGGATAGCCGTTGTCCAAGAAGATCGTTTTGAGTTTTTCCAGTTCAGCGTGCAGTTTAGATTTCGAGCAGATCATAAGTGCCCTATGTACTAATGTTTTGACAAGGTTGACTTTGCGTTGTTTTGGGCAAAATGAATTCCAGCGTATGTACTGACCGGTAAAAGTGGGCTTGCGATATACACTGGTAAGAAATCCAGTGTTAGACTTTTCGACCAAAACATCTAAAAATGGTAAGGAATCATTTTCTTCCTTTTCAAACGTAAACTGGAGGGCTGGGTGTAGGGTCGAAAAGTCTAACACTGGATTTCTTACCAGTGTATATCGCAAGCCTACTTTTACCGGTCAGCACATACGCTGGAATTCATTTTGCCCAAAACAACGCAAAGTCAACCTTGTCAAAACATTAGTACATAGGGCACTTAAGATCTGCTCGAAATCTAAACTGCACGCTGAACTGGAAAAACTCAAAACGATCTTCTTGGACAACGGCTATCCTGAAGACGTCATTTTATCTTATACTAAGGAGAAGATCGCAAGTTTTTCGGCTGTTCAAAAGTTTGGTCCGCAAAAGTGCCCAGTTTATTTGAAACTACCATGGATTGGTAACACTTCCTTGCGATTCGAGAGTCAGATTAGGCAAGCCATAACCAATTGTTTCTTTGCTGTCAATCCTCGGATTGTTTACAGCACTAGGAGAGCCCTTCCATCCATTCAAAAGGATTGCGTCCCTACCAAGCAAAAAAGTTCCGTCATTTATGAATTTACGTGTCAGTGTGATTCTGGCTACGTAGGGCGCATAACCCAAAGATTGGAGGATAGGATAAAACAGCATGTTCCTTCCAACATACGAAACAAAACTGCCCCTCAAAGAGAACAGCCTCCTCGATCTTGTAGGTCTAGAAACACTGTTAAAACAAGTGATTCTGCCATTGGTCAACAACTTTTAGACAACCCAGATTGTGCAAAACTCTATAATGACGACATGTTTCGGATAATTGGCAGAGCCCGGTCGTCCTTCCATCTAGCAGTTTTGGAGTCAATCTACATAAAAACGAAAAAGCCGCTATTGTGTAGACAAAAGGAGTTCGTTTTCTCTCTTGGACTCCATTGGTAATTTTTCTTTAGGCTCGCGGCACTGATTGGTCAACTATACCGGTCTTGTGCTTGCGTTTTCTGATTGGCCTATTTCGATCCACAACTGGGTATATATTTTTCCATCGTGTTTTTTCGGAACCTATTCTGACGTTTTATGCTCTGAGGAGTGTCAGACGAAAAAGCTTTAAGTATGTTGTAAAATGTTTGCTTTTTTCAAAGCCATTTTCAAATTCTGTACCGCAAAAAAATTGTTCATATTCAGATATCTACAATGCTGGTGAATGCTGGAGATTCATTTCAATTGATGAGTGAGTCCAACACTGTGCTTGGAGAAGTAAGTTTAATGGTGCTCATCTTGAATGTTGAGAAATTTGGGGAATTGCAAGAATATTCACAATAAAAAAGGGTCTGCCTTGATGCTTATTTCTAAATCATGTGTTTTTTCTCTTTACCCCCTTGCTCTTAACCGGTTTTATATGGCTTATATATTAAAATCAGACTCCAAATGGGGTGCACTCTCAGTTGTTTCTTTAAAACACAGTATTTTACTCAGCATTTTTCAACAACAATTACGATGTTCACCGTTTTTGTTGGTATGAAACTTCAAAATGGCTTTAAAAGGGACTGACATTTCAAAATATACTCAATCTTTACGTCTGACGCCCTTTCTCAATCTTTACGAATTATCATGCAGTATAAAATAGCAGATCATTGATAGAAAATACTAGGCGAAGAAATATTTTGTCCTCAACCATGTATATGTATATCCTAGCTTAGAATTTTCAACAATTATTCTGACATTTTATCCTGTAAAGAGTGTCAGACAAAAAGCTTAAGTATGTTGGGAAAGGTTTGCTTTTTTCAATGCAGTTGTTTCGATTTATAAATATTGTATTTCCTCTAATGAACGCCGCCCTCTGATAAACGCCGCCCTCTGTTGAACGTCGCATCTTGAAAAGCGGAGTTCATCAGAAAACCCACCAAACAAGAAGTAAGAAATCTATTATGCGCTTACTATTCGAAAGCCATAAAAGATTTATCTCATAGAGACGATGACTCTGACGGGACTTGACATTCTTTTTATCCTTTTTCATCGCATTTTTCTTGTCATTTTTCATTTGACAAACTTTTCATTTTGTATTGAACGCCGCCCTCTAATGAACGCCGCAGCCAAAATTGTGAGTTTGTAATAAACGCCGCGGCGTTCTTTAGAGGAAATACGGTATGTATCAAATTCGTTGAACGGAGCATTTGGAACACTAACCACTGGTCACTGGCCTTATCTTCTAAAACAATTAGAAATAGATATTCAACATTTATCTGTGGTTGACCTTGCCTAAATACTTAGATCCCTATCGTATATCATTTGGATAATATAGAAAATTATTTCTCCGCAATTCATTGAATGAAAAAGGCTCTCAAACACTATCTCTACTCTATCAACACCCACTTAAAGAATCGTGTATTTGGAAATCGATAAAGCAAATCCTTTCTCCATAGGCATTCAAAAGCACCCAAGATACACGAAAGCCCATATACATATCTGTCGGACATAAAATTAGTCTACATAATGCCGTTAAGATTGTCGGAAAATGCTGCAAGTATCGAATACCCGAACCGGTTCGCCAGGTAAGGTTTCTCCACAAAAAATTACAATTGTTTTTATCAGACGACTTCGTTTTTACTCTAGCCTTGTTCAAACAAAAGTTTGTCAATGCTGTTTGCTATTAAATTTGTTTTGTACGTTGCATGCCGCGGTTAGTTTTGTACACTTTGTAATTTTAAACTCGTTTCCCATAATATATGATTCGACCATTTAATGAGTGAATGATTGGTTCGCTACGTAATGTAGCAATGTTGCTTGGAAGCCTCATGGCAAGGAAGTTCACCAATTATTTCAAGGGAGTAGGTAGAAAGGGCAGGGGAGCCTGGGCCCCTAATATTCTAGAGGGTCCCCAAAACAAAAAGTTGCAGATCGTACTGAGATAAGAAATGTGCACATGTTGCCTCTTAACCCTCTTTCCAATGACTGTGTTGGTATGTACATGCTTGTGCATTACCTCTGTACGTTATTTTAAATAGAGTCATTTCTATATGTTTTACAGAAAAAATGGGCCTCCCCCAATGTCATAATCCTAACCACCCATATGAACTATTTGAATGCTTGAACGATTGGAGTAAAAAAAAAATTACTGAACATTTTGAGCATCATTTGAAACCATTTCTAATACAGAGAATATTATAGACTTCATAATATTTTACGAATGGTTTTCCAATATGTGAAGACAGCACAAAACTGAGGCTCCAATAAAGTGAAATTGTTTTGCTACTTTTGTGGTTATGAATGTTAAACTGAAATACTTTATGTTAAATATATCAAGCATGATTTCGCAGTTTCTTGAAATTTAGCGCTAAGCAGTGCACGTTATATGCAAATTATAAAAATAGAAAGTACAAGTTGTCACTTGGCACGATTCAGGTAATAGTAAAATATTACGATATAGAATCAAAACTCACTTTTCAAGATGATATTTGATCTTTTTGTAGGCAGACATCATTTCTAGAGAATACATGAGGAATAATTATGAAATACTCGTCCAAGATTGTCAAGTTGATTGGAAAGGTATTTCTAAACAACACGAAGAAATCGAGGAACTAGCGAAAAGATTAAAAATGCAATCCATCGTAAATGCAGTGGAAGTTTCAGAACTTTGAATGTCATGATCAATGTTTGGTAAGTGTTGAAATTAAGGACGTAACAACGTGTTTAGATACATTTCGTATAACGTACCAACAATATCCCATAGATTTAGGAAGTAAGTGACGAAAAAAACTGCTGCCAGTTCATAGTAGGCAGAATCAATGCAGAACAACGAGAAAAGATGCAATAAAATGAAAATGGTGAATTAAGCAATCTCACAGCTGATTTTAGACCAAAAACATTTAACAACACTAATACTCGTTGTAGAATTGGTTATCATCTCCAAACGTGTATCGTGAAAGTGAGAGGTGGTCGGTCGGCAAAGGGATAGCTGTCCGCTTCAAGCATTTAAGTACTCAAATGCTCTTCTCGTGAGTCACCTTGGCAATGAAACGTGAGGTTGAGCAACTCGACGTGAGTTTTTTTAAAGTTCGATAATTGCCCAAAAGATTACTACAACATTTAATAGCAGACCTATAGACAAGGAACGGTCAATGAAAACCTATGTAGCAAAACTCGACCAAAGATCAACCAGTTTCGAAAGATTCCTTAGGTTTTATTATCCATCAGTTATCTCGTTAAAGTTCTTTAAAACTACAGGTATCTTGAATTAATGTTTGATCTTTTGCAACCTTCGGGTTTGATGCAAGATTTTTGGAGCCAGGGTTCCTTCGTCTGTTCTTGGAGTATAAAGCGGATTGGTGCTGTAGAATTGATTATTTTCTGTTCTTCATAAAAGCACGTTTGCCATTTCTTATCGGCCAGTAAAGTAACTTCATATATATTTAATTTTTTACTTATAAAATCTTCAAAAAACAGTATTTGAGTAATTTATTTTCTTCTTTCTGCAGCCCAATGTACTCACTCCCAATGTACTTCGAAGGATAACTGTAAAGAACTCTTTCTTTAACATTTCGTGTGTAAATAGATTTTGTTTTTAAACTTAAAAATTTATTGTTTTTATACCTTTTATAAAAACATGGATCTTTATAAAATTATAGATGAAAAGATTGTGGCATTTATCATCGAATTCATAACAATTGTCTCTTTACATTTATGACCAACTTCATCAAATTGTTTTGATGTAGATTTCACATTATGGCAATGAAGGCCTGGCATAAATTCGGCATTTAATTTGATGCTACGGCACAAGTTGTTTCTGTTAATAGAGACAGCGGGTTGGCAGGGGTTTTGTGCAACGTTCATAAACTCTTAAATGAACACGACATCCTGAACCGCAAAACGTTTTACTACTAAGATTTACCATAGCTACAACTACAGCCCTGACTACAGCTACTGCAGGTCTTCTGGGCTTCACGCATCTTGCATGTTTGCACCAATATTCTTCCATATCCCGCATCACGCAAGCAATGACTTCCTTACTGTTTTTCGCGCATTTTCCCCGAAAGGAAACAAAATTTCTAGTTTTCAACCTAGTTATGGAAACAAGCCTTTCTACCTTTTCCTGATTTCTCCCTGAACGCTTACATTGGAAACCCATTTTGGAATTTGGAATACACTTCTGATATACTTCAGGGCTCACGCCATGAATTTCAAGGTGGAGGGGTCAGTTTCTTTAGCTCGAAATTAAATTTAGTGCTTCAAAACAGGGCCTCTTTTGAAATATTTTTGCTCGCCAAAAAAGTGGGGGGGGGGGCATGCGTGGGCTCTTTACTTTAAAAGACCAAACTATTCAAGATGAACGGGAACTTGGAAATCAGCCGGTCTGCTACTATTATCTTAAACCTCTAATTCTTAACAGCAAACAAAAAAATGCTAACCCAGCCAAAGACGTTAAGCAACTACAACCAATGACCGAGATACTGGGGGGAGGGGCGGGGGGCCTTGGCTCCCAAAAAATCTTCGTACACCTCGCTTCATGGAAATCCCGTACACCTTTGATGAAAATCCTAATGCTTTATCTAAAAATCCCTGGAAATCCTCTTGTTTTGGTGGAAATCTCGTACGTTGTTGCAAGAGTGAATCGCCCTTCGTTTCAGTGCTCCGTCCCAGTGGCCTGTGTTACAACGCAACTGTGTCAGGGGCTTGGGCTTCGTCCCTGTTAAATCAGAGACAATTTTTTATTTTAAATCATGACATGCTACCGAACAGGGCGCCCAGATTTCCAAAAACCGGCTTATTTTCATCAATTTATACCATTTTTATATTGACTAGAGAACGGGCAAGTGCAATTATTAACTCGCTGCTAACACATTTCTGCTGTTATTCTTTAGTGTGGTATAAAGTAGAAATCTATGCCCCACTGTTTTCTGTGCCTTCGAGAGGGGCTGTGTGATACCAATTCTTCTCCAACCTGCGCACGTATCTTTGGTTCAAGGAAGTAAATTGAGCGAAAGCGAATGCAATCCCCTAGCAGATAAGGAAGTAAAGTACGTGTCAATCAAGCGGCACCATGCAACCACAATTGTTAATCACAAGAGAAACACCGGTTCCACGTTTGTAACGACACAGAAATACGAATCTTGTTATAAATGAGAAATCGGTAGGCCACAAAGATGGTAATGAGTTAAAACTTTATCTAGTTATAGTGCTGTTGAATGCAACATGGCGACAAATGACAACACAGAGCGGTTCGAAGATCTGGTCGAACTTGATCCTGACGACATTGCAGTCTCGGCCTTTGAAAACCAAGATGAATTCAAGCCTAAAATTTTCAATAAACAAAAAGCTTTTGGAAAACGGCGAAGTTTCTTGTGTTACAGTAAGTTTATGAATTTTTTGGTCGCTTTTCGAAATTGTTTGAAACGGTTTTATTTGGGATCGAAGTGAACTGTAACCTGATAACCACAGGGCGCGTGGCTGTAAGAATAAAGTCCTACTTGGCTTTGGCCTGTTTTCAATGCAAACAGAAACACTTGCAAATGAGTTGCAATCCATAACAATTCCTGTTATGGCCTTTAGGTTATCAGCCAGTTCATTTCCCATCCTTTCTGTCACACCGTTTCCTTTTCTGGGACTTTGGCCATTCCTTATCTCAGCCAAAACTTCGATTCAGAAACATGATTACCAATGGCAATTTTCATAAGGAACCGTTTGTGAAATCTCGTGGAACGGTCTTACTTTTTTTAAAAGGAGGAAAGTTTTAAAGTAATTCAGGTAGTAACTGTAATTTGCTGCAGGAGAAAAAAGGTAATTGATTTTGAATAAGATAAATCTAGCTTACCTAAGAATACCCAGGGTGAACTAAGGATACCCACGGTAAGAATCGCTTGCACGTTCAAGACTTATTTTCCTCTTTTTGCTTTTTTAAGGCATAAGCTTTTTGACTTTAATTTATTGATTTTTTAATAAGTTTATTACATTTTCATTTATTTACCTAAAGCTTGCAAATCCAAGATTCAAAGAATAAGCCGGTTCCCAATAACGAACAGAATAATAGAAAGGAGGGAAGTAAAGGAAAATATCAAAATTATTTCTTGGTGTTGGCACGAGCTTTTTTTTAACCCAACTAGTTTGACATGTCAATGATGAAATTCACCAGTTTGACAAATCTATTATACAGATTCCTTATAATTCCAATATTTGAAAACTTCTTTTCTGATTTCAATCATTTGCTTACTTTCAATCTTTTTCTGTCTGCAGTCAGTGTACTTAAGTCGCAATAGCAGTCATGCTACAATTCATTTACCTTTACCATGCTATATCTTGATGACACATTTAAAATTATTAGCTACTTTTTTCAATAGATACGCATCAAAGGGTGTTTCGGTCTTGGGCCTAGTTATAGAGGCTGTACTTGCTAGTGTCTCGAGCCATCTGTAATGCCAGAACAGCCCCCTTGTAACTCAATCTCCATCAAATTCTGCAGGGAATGTAGCATTCGATGCTAGTTTTGATGCATTCGAGGAAGAGACAGAATCGACAACAGAATTCACTGAAATCGGTGAAGACTTTACAGATTTTGCTGAGACATCAACAGATCTGCCAGATATCGAAACAGATCTGCCAAGCAGGCTAAATCGCCGAAAACAAGGCAAGCTACCACTGTTTTGTTCCTTTTTGCATTGCTAATGATTCTTTTTATGCAATGTTTGTATGGCTTAGACAGTTTTCTAGCAATGTGGCAAAAAGGATGATGAACCTCAAAGTGAATGATTTATTCAAAGTGGCAACCCAAGGATTTCATTCATGTACTAGAAATTATAAAAAAAACTTTCAGTTATTGATTCTTTAGGGGATGTTGAAATTCGGGGCTAATAACGTTTTCTTTTGGAGGGACAATTGATTCAAAGGATGCATTACATATCTGTCTGCTGGAAACCAAATTTCGCGTCGTTGCTAAAACTCGACGATTTTAATCAGACACCAATAAAAAACAAAATAATTTTATAATTCAGTATATAAGTATTATTCAATTTATAAGTGTGAATTATTATGTACTGCATTGAATTGAGAGGCGGACATGAAGAATCCTAATAGGTATCATGTTTTGCTGGATGTTATATCTTTAGGAGAGCGTTCCCTGACCCTAGACGACCTGCGAGTCATTAACGCAGTCAAAAACTCCTCGACGCATATGACATAAGGTTTATCGGATTATCCTGACGGATTTCTTCAGTTTCGCCAGATTGAGAACCCTTCTATTTGTTTTACGAGATATGTTTTCAAGCATGTGTTGGATACTTACTACATTTATTTCCATTAATATCATTGCTCATCTGTTCTTCAATTTTTGTATGCAACATCCTGGTAACAAAAATAGTTAGCAGACCCTCCATAAACAAACCACGACTTCTTTGTGTACTCATTCTTCGTACATAAAAAGGCCTGCGAATCTGAAGCGCTTTTAAGCCTTTCCTTGCACGAAAACAAGAGTGTATTTGCAAATGATAACAGAGTGACATGTTGTTTGCATGATCTGAAAATCAAAACTGTTTTTTTCCGAGCAGTAAGTGCTAGCCTGCGTTGTTTAAAGTGCTAGCCTAGCTAATAAGTGCGTGTTGTTTAAATTGTTGTCCTTCTTTTCAAAAAAGGAAGCCTAAAGCAACGCAGGGCCGAAAGAATCCATCAGAATAAAACCAACGAGGGTGCAATGTAAGTAGCATAATCGTCAAGTTCACCCTTGTACTTACATACAGATAATCTTCTATAATTTTTCACTCAATCTATCAAATCAATTTGTCCAACTACACGATCATCCAATCATTCCAACAATCAATATACAATCGTATCATGCACGTTTTTTATAAGAAAGTTTTTTTCAGCCCAGCCCTCAGACTTTCTTAGCTATTCCTAATTTCAGCACTAAAACTTTCTAAACACTTATTTAACGTAAAATTGGAAATTTTTACATTACTAAGCATGCGCAGTGAAATGCTATAAATATGCTATATTTCTCAAAAAGCCTCAACTGTTTTCGCCGTTTCCTGTTGAGCACATTACTGTATTGTTGAAATATTTACACCATAATTTCCTTTGGAATTTTGAATATCTAAATTTTTCAATTTTCTTAGGTTTCAAGGATCCAGTCCTTAACCTTCTTAACTGTATGAAGAACCGAGCACAACTTTCTTATAAAATTTTTATTATAAAAAAACGTGTAATCATCAATCATATTTTAAAATTTCGCTTTTCGTTATGGCTTGGAAAAAATAGTTTGATAAATTATAACCCAGGAGAAGGCATATGTTACCAAATGTGGTAATCCCGTTTCAACATTCTCATAACATATCAAACATTTGCATGCACTGATCTCAAAAAAAGACTGGATCAAACAACCTATTGTTCTCCTACATACGCATGATCGAGTCTATCCATCTTGAGACCTCTCGCGCCTAAAGCTTTGGGCTGCCATTTGTTAAAACGGCGCGCACACAGTGCTGCGTTTTAAATTGTGCATTAATCATTGAACTCTTAAATATTCTAAGATACAACAGGCCTCGGAAAATAAGTGAAGAGTGGATTCTCCGTTACATAAGCTTAATACCATGGCAAATATGTTCAACGTCACTTAAGAATGATAAAAGTTTTTGTTTCAACGGTTACTTTGAATTTTGCTATGAAAAGCAAGTTGAACTGAAACCAACATGGTTGCTCTCTAGTCTCATACAACACGGTGCGGTCTCAAGATGGACGCTGCAATGTGGAATCAACGCTTTTCCAGTCTTTTTTTGAGATCACTGTTTGCATGCTATTAGCATTCAAAATGGTTTCTGTATCTGGAAAAGACTTGTGGTCCAGAACCCAAGGATATTCAGCTTTAATCCTTTTGCAAACATTTATTGTCGCTGTTTGCATTAAATCAAAGTAAGCTTAAAAATAAAGTGTTTCAAAAATAATTGCCCTGATTTATGAAAAAAATTTAAGAAAACAAACTGTATTTGTCTTTTGTTCTAGTTTACCTGCAATGAACAGAAGCCAGACAAAAATAAGTGGTTGGAAACAATTCAAATATGGAATATCGTTCGTAAGAACTAAACAGATCCTTTATCGTCTTTGTTCTATTTCGATATTGTGTTATTGTCCATAAACGACCTTTTCTTGGCAATATTTTTTAAAGGAAATGTAAAACTCTGTTTCAGCGCTTTGGTGCAGCAAAAGATGGTATTAAAGGATTTTTCAAAGATATCGATATTTGGAAATCAAATCTGAAGCCAGTCGAAGGTAAACCACATATAAATCACATGAAGATTGATCCATTTCCCAACAATACAGTACGTTTTAATTTAAATAGCTTTACTGCCTTCAAGTATGAGAAGGTAAATTGTATTTAAGAGATCCCTTTTTGAAACGTCATTTGCCAATGTTTATTTCTATAATAAACTTAGGTCGACGTTGAGTCTTCAGCTTATTAACGCTTTGGGAATTTGTTTATCGTAAGTTTCTTAATTATGTTGCATTAGGTAGACTTAAAAACAAAGTCCATACTAAAAAAATAATGGGCAGGAAATGAATTTTTCTTTCAACTTTTAATTATTTTGAAAGCTTTCAATGCTCAAGGAACATCAAGTGAAAATTTAGATTGGATATCATTGAAAGTATTGCAGAAAATTACACTCATGCATAGAAGCGTCAAAATTAAAACTTTTGTGTTTTTTGTTAGATTTTTCATCAAAGTTTCATCCAAATTAGGCATTAAGATTTTATTGCCCGGTAACCCTATATCCTTCATTACTATGAAAGCCACAGTATCATGTGCTAGTTAATTTTTCCTTTGCTATTTCAGGAAAATTTGGTTCTGGTGTACTGTCCTATTTCCTGTTTTTACGATGGTTATTTCTGCTTGATTTGGTGATAACAGTCATGATTTTGGCGTTTGTACTCGCCCCGCAACTTATGTACAAACCAAGCTTCGAAACAAATAAAAACAACTTCAATGGATTGGAATTGTTGACAGGAGAGGTGAGAGGGCTGCTTTTTGTGCGAATTTAGATGCAGAGTTTGTGTAAAAAGGTGTACTATCACCAAAAATACCAGGAAATAAGTATCTGAAAATATTGAAACTGGATTTAAAGAGTCTTTTGCAGGAAATCATTTTTAAAAAGAACTTACTGTTTCAAGAGACAGATAGCTTTACTTGAAGGCAGAATGCCCCTACTTTGCAGCTACAATTTTAACACTCAAGAAAGCAATTGAAAAATGATCTGAATTTACCGTAAAGTTAATGAAGAAATTTCAACCAATACAGAGCCACAACATTTGCAAATATTTTCACAACATTGCAACATGCATATATCACGTGAACCTATGCTAACATATCTGGCCGAGCTTATAAACGATGAGGTCCTTTAAAGCCTAAAACATATGAATAATGTTTTTAAAACTGAGCAGACAATAGTGGGTAAATAGTGCTTCTTGCCAACGTCCAACTGACAACACAGTTGGAGACGTTTTTCAAAACAGAACGTTTTAACATGTCTGATATAGAATGATTACATTGTGAAGAAACTGATATAAAATACATAAAATATTCATGAAAAAATACCAGCACCTCTTTTATTACCAATTATATAAGCTGTGATTCTTAGAATCCCCGAAGAATTCTCGAAAAATCTCGAAAAATCTCGACAATTACCCATGAACTCAGGAATCCTACATTATGTTGAAGCAGATTGAATGCTACTTTTTTTCGAGAAAATTGCAAATTGCACTCCATGACAGGAAAAACCCCTTTTACGACATCCATGACACCACCACTCCATGACAGGGAAAAACCCTTTTACGACATCCATGACACCACCACTCCATGACAGGGAAAACCCTTTTACGAAAGACATAAAAAACATGATAATATTTCCCTTCAAAATTTACTTTCAGCTTCATCCGAAAATTATTATTCAACTAATTCAACTGACTAGAATTACACCAAATACTAGAATACAGGCAACGTTCCCAAGACTCGTCTCAATCCTTAGCAAACTTTTTCAGCTTTCCTACTCCCTTGAAATATTTCCTTTCACCTTTAAACTGGCCCTAATTTTCCAAGGGACAAGACCAATCCCGCCAACTATCGTACAAGCGAAGTAGATTCCCTCATCTCTGAAACAATTACAAACATTACCCCCAAATAATTCATTACCTCTCTTGAAACCAACACACTTTTTTTAATTACCCGTATGGCGAGATCTACTTGTTATTTATTAGCTTGGGCTACTCATGTTTAGTGCTCTGCTCTGGACTCACTCCTTTACTGGTTTCTTTTTACTCCTAAGGCATTTCATGTAAACGCAATCATGACTTTTCTCCGGTTTCCTTAAATGGTCCAGACGTTGATATCTCTACTTTCTTTTCATAACTAACTCTTTCTGCACCATTCAAACTCAATAAGAAGTGAAATTTTGTTTCTATTGCTAAGTGCACATCTCAAAAACTATTCTCACTCTTACGTGACCAAAATACTTCATGCTTTGGGAAACTGCTCTCTTAGTTTGGGTCGTGGCACTCCTAAATTTTCTTTGTGTCTCCTTGATAAAACCCATTCGCTTTATTTCCATGGATATTCCTGCTAAACATTTTATTCTTATTTTAAAATTATGAAATGACAATTATTTGTTATTAAATATTTATTTAGGGAGCTAATACTCCAGGTTTAAAGCCTTCTGTGGCCCTTATTTATAAGACTACTTAGAGTAATACAACTTTTCTGTTTCTCAGTTTTATTTATTGACAATATGAACAAGTAAAATTTATGGTAATCAGTGTCTTTTAATTGCAGGGATGGTTTTTGCCAACAGAAATGTATTATGGGACCTACGGCGACTATAAAAACGACACCGTCATTCTGTCATACAACACTCCGTACAATCTCCCTTTGGCCTATCTTGCTGTTGCGGGCGGCTATATTCTACTCTGTGTAATCATTCTCGTCAGAAGGTTTGATTCTTGTGCTTACATTCCTTTAGTATCTTTATACTTCCAACATGAATTTTTTGTTCATTTGATGCGAAAAACTTTTCTTCTTTTTAAAGGACTAGTTTATCTCGCCTTTAAATAATCTTGCATACATTTATTTCGTAACAACAACAAAAAATGCAAGATTAATACTTTTAAAATATAAATGGAAATCTATTCATAATTTGTTTATACATAACTTTCACTCTGGAATCCCTATTTCCTGTTCTCGTAAAGTACTCTAACAAACTGGCATGTCAGCACCAAATTTTGAATTTTTAAAGTGACTGGCTAAAAGGTCAAGGGCATTTGCTACATTAGCCCACCCCCCCACTCCCCCCCCCCCAACATTTCCCCACCCCCATACATTCCTCACCCCCAACATTCCCCACCCCCTCTAGTAATGTTAAAGCTAAGTATCAAAGACTGCCTTTTTTCTATTCAATGTTAATCATATTTCCAATATAACAAACTCAGTATTCGCTATTTATATCAATTTACCTTTTTTCAGCATGGCAGTTTCATACAACAAAAATTATATATCTGGCAAAGATTTTCGAGACTCGTTTTTTACTAAGATTTTCTGCTCTTGGGACTACGCAGTGACTATGGAAAATAGTGCAGATTTGCAATGCAAAAATATACACATCGACCTGATGGTAAATTTTTATTAATTATTATATATTAGTTATTTATCTAATAAATCTGCATATGTAATTTTAGATGCCGGTCTGCATTCTCGAGATACTTCGAGAATACTACGTAACGGACGAAAATGTCCCCCTTTCCTGCTGATTTTATGTGACTTAAAGGGATCTTGCATTGCCATGTCATTCGAAATGTGCCGATACATATGATGCATCCAACATTTAATCTAGTTTAACTGTTGTGCTTATCACAGCCGATACCTGTGATGCATCTCACATTGAATCTAGTTTAACTGTTCAGGGTATTGTAATGTTTTTAGATTTTTACATGTCCAACTATGCCATATAGACCAGAGGTGAGAGGGGGAGCATTATCACCTGAGCTGGCAATTAACCAGACTAACTTTTTCTGACTCAATTTTTTGTGTAGATTACGAATCAGGATGTTGCTTTGGCGTTTAGGGGGGCGTTTTCTAGATATAGGGGGTCAAAGACCAAAAACACGCGATATGACCTAATTTGACCGTTTTCCGCTATCACACTTTAAAAATTGGTAATTTTTGTTATGATCTGGTGATGTAGTGATCTTACGAAAAGACAGTGATAATAGTTTCAAAATTACGTATATTCTTGAAATATATGAAGTTTTGAAACTTGTTGTTCAACATCGTTCAAAGAAAAGGGATTCGTTGATATAGACAAAGCTCTTCCTAATCCTCTTGCCCTTGCAACAACTGACGGATACAGACGTAAAACAGCCAAGATACTAATGCTACTACATACAGCATTAAAATCAATCATGGTACCAAAAAGCCCGGTGCCAAAAATTAATCTGGAAAAATAATCGGTGAAATTTCGGTGAGAACTTGAAAAATCTTTGGAGTAAAGAAACGAAAAACTTTCTGTAAGTTATTTCTATCTTCAACATAGAATTATCTGGAGCACAATTATAAAAGTTACAAAAATCGAATACTTTGATGCATACCAAGAGACAATTGAACCATCAATATAAGGAAAATTCTAAAAGATCATTGGGACATAATTTCAAATGATAAAAAGATAGTATTAAAAAGACATAAAAAACATTTGAGATCTAAAAACTAAGACATAGGGACACATAGGTAACACCCCTCCCCCCAAGAATTCTGAATCTGTTCTAATCTCGGCATATTCGGCATTCTTGGTGCTTACTCAGCAAACTTGGTGGTGGTGTTAGTTAAAAAAATCAATAATAGTCGATGGTATTATATTTGATTGTTTTCATTTTCATTTCGATTTGTTCCTCTTCGCTCCTCGGCACGTTAATATTTCAACCGTTAATTTGCAAACTGAAACCAGTGGGAGCTAAACTCCACATTGGAATTTTTCAGCGTTGGGTGCGCTAATGATGAGAATGACTACCAGAAAATCGATTAAAACCGTCAAATAGCGTTCCACCCGCGGATATTTATTTTAAGAATAAGACTGTATTGTAAAGTAGTAAAAATGTCTTGAATGAGTGAATTTTCCAGCAAACTGGAAGCAGCAAAGTTCGAAAATTTCCCCGACCTTTTGCGGCAACCAGGGTGCCGCCTCAGGTACTAACTTTCGTGTAATGGTTCCTATTCTGTTTAATGATTAAATGACGTCTTTTTTTATTACTCAGAAAAGTTTACAGCGTTGTGAATATAGAAAAATCAAGGAGAAAGACCTACAAAGAACTTTCTTAGCATATGTCTTTTGTCTTTTTAGGGATATTTAGTTATAAAAGCGAGTTCCCCACAAAAGAATATTAATCACGCTCTAAGTAGCTGCTCTTTCTTGTTTGTTACATTCATGTCCTGTCATAATCGCAATTGCATCTTTTTGCAACTGGGATTCCATGCTTTCTCTCCAATTGCATAGCCCCCTATCGAAAGGTCAAGCCCCTCCGTCAGAGAATTTCTAGCGCCACAATAAGTAGTCTCAACTCAACGATCGAGTAATATACTTTGCAAGAAAAAATTCTTGTGGTAAGATTGAGAGCAAAGGGGTAACTAAGGCGGGAAAGTCAAACACAAACCATGGAAAAGCAGATACCACAATCTGCTACCTACTTCACCATGTCCTACGGATGAATAATGGACAGGAGACAGTTTGCATTGTGCGCTCTTGAGATATTGATATTCTTGTTATACTTTTAACCAACGAAGCTAAAAACTTGCATGTCTTTATGGAGTACGGAAGAGGAAAATACAGGAGAGTACTGGATCTAAATGCTTTTGCGCAATCTTTATTGCGGAAGCAAGCGCTCCTTGGCCTGCATGCTGCTCCCATGTAAAAGCAGCCTCGAAAAACACTTAAAGCGTGCAAACTTTGTAGCAAGGGTATAGAGACAAGCTTTACAAAGCATAATCAACAAAGAAGAACCAGTGAATCACGGCTGGTTAGAAGATCTGTTAATTGATTGGTTCACGGAGCCCTTCTATACTATCCTGAGGACATTGCGAAGCTATTGTTTGCAAGCGAAGAAAAATGAAGCGAATCAAAAGGAGAAAGCGAATAAAGTAAACGCTTTAAGAATACAGTAATAGTGAAATTCCCCTTCCCTGTAATTGCCTGCCCCCCTCCATCAATGCCAGAAAAGGCCAATTTTGACAGAGCATTGATCAACACACCAATTTTTAATAAAATTAAACATTTTCTAAAGTGCGATAATTGAATATAGTCAAATTGGGACAATTTGTGTTTTTTGGTCTTTGACCCCCTATATCTAGAAAACGCCCCCCTAAACGCCAAAGCAACATCCGGATTCGTATTCTACACAAAAAATTGAGTCAGAAAAAGTTAGTCTGGTTAATTGCCAGCTCAGGTGATAATGCTCCCCCTCTCACCTGGTCTAATAAGGTACATTTCATTTCCTTGGTTGTTGGTTTAGATATTCCAGTGACATTTAAAAAGTAGTGAAGTAGTTGGCCGTGCATAATCCATTCGCTCTTTATGTAATGTAAATTATTTAGGCACCGCGGATCGTTGAGAAATGTGAGTAAGGTCTAAAAAGTGGGGAGGGGGGGCTAGAACGAAATAAAAAGAGGCTTGACTGATGGTTCATTTCTTAATGTTTTTGCATTTTTGGCAAAAAGTGGGGGGGGGGCATAGCCCCCTAGCCGACCGCGGTGCATTTTCTGGCATTTGAAAAAGCTTTGGAGTTTTCAAACTTCTTATTCTGTTATAGTGTGTGACTTAATTGATTAATTTTGAATATAATCATATTTTTATTTCTTTATCAGGAAACTCTAAATGAGGGAAGAGAAAAGCGAAAAAAGACAAGTGATGAACAATTTCATATGTTCATAGTGTTGTTTATCACCAATTTGATAGCAATTGGTCTGATAGGAGGAGCTTGCTATGGTATTCACTGGATGAAAATGAAAGGCATTCAAATAATCAAAGTGAGTTAAATGAAATATCAGGGTAAATTTACAACAAATGTGCTGGAAATGATGATCGAAACAATCTGATGTGACTCTGTATGTCATGATTTATACCGTTATACAGTTAAAGAATCGTTATAGCATCTATATAGAGGA